ATTCTTGTGCAGCTTCATCTATATCATTAACTGTTTTTGGTTTTTTAATGGTTTTTCTTGGTGATGAAAATTCCGATATCTCACGGTTATCGATTCTTTTTTTCTCTCCAGAAATGCGGACGACAGTGTTTTTAGATACTCCTGTGGCTGCAGCAACACGATCATTTACATTTTTAAATGGTATTGAAGGTGAATTAAAGTTTCCTTCTCTTCTCATAAACTCTATAACATTGGCTATTATTTCGCGAGATTGACTGTTAATCACGCGGCCTCTTAATTTGCTATTAAACTCCATACTTAGGTTCTATTAAACTGTAATGAGCAAAAAACACAAACGAAAATAAAAGAAATGTTTTAGCGAAATTTACATCTGACATTTACGTCTGAATGAAATAGTGAAATACTTGATGCGCAGAGTGTACTTTCATTGCGTAAATCCGTCGGGATGCCTGTCAGTAGTGCTTTCTCTGTCTAGCCGTCGAAAGCCTCTAGAAATTTGATGAACTGTAATATTAAATTAGATACATTATTTCTTTTACTTAAAGTAGAATCTACGTAGCCCTCTGCGACGGTAGACGACTTCCAGCCCCCATGTTGTTTTAACTGTTAGAAGGTCACCTCCAAAATTGGCCAACATTGTTGCCGATGACCTCCTAAAACAATGTCCAGTATACATAGTCGGATTAGGCAATTGAAGATAATTTGCTATAATAGATGGCATTTTGTCAAATGTATTTATGCCTACTGGCTGTTTGGTGCACTTATTGTTTCCATATTTCAACAATTTCAAATTTTTGAATTGGTGGGATTTAAAATAGTAAAAATTATATCCGTCCCATTTTTAGTTTCAGGAATTCTAATAATAAGTACTGCCGTTGGCCGGGATTTTTTTATTTAATTTAAATTATTTAAAATTAATTCTGATGCCTTGGTAGGATTCCCCACTCGACCATTCACTGTTGGGTTCTAATTAACAGTGTTGTTCCTAAAGTGGCGCTGGGAAACAGTAACAAAGCCAACACAGAACACGAGGCTAATAACCTTAGCAGTTGATGCCGATGACACCAAATAAAAAAAAATAAGTACTGTTTCTTTGTCTTCGATAACATCATATTTTAAATTTGTCAATTCGTCTCTTCGGCATGCGCCGGAAATGCCAATTATAAATTCCACCTGGAAAAAGCAATACTGATGTAATGAGTGATGACTTTATTACTCACTTCAGCAGAAAAAAGTTTCCTTGGCGCGGATTTGACCCCGGGATCTTCGTCACCGGAGACAAGCATTTTACTACTGCGCCACTGTAACTCTTTGTTATATTATTTATATTTGTAATTTTTCCATAAAAATGCTAAATTACAACACTACCAGTTTTTATTATAAAAATTTTATACTTTATAATTTAAATATACTTATAATAATTATTGTAAATTATGCTTACTTTAATCATTAGAAAAGTTGAATCTGAAGCCTTTTTAAGAAAAGTTATTAAGTGATCTTTTTCGAAAATTTTTGATTTTTTAGCCTTGTACCCCTTGCTCTTGTTTTTTACAAAACTAACTAATTTATAATATTTTGATATGTCAATATTATTTTTGATTTTTAAAGTTGTTTTTAACAGAAAATATCGACCATGTTGTGGATGGATTATAGTGTTTTAATTCACTTGAAAAATATGCCACCCAGATTCTCAGAATATTTGGTAATTTTATTTCTTTTACACCATTTCATAAAGAAATTATATTTCGACTCATAAATGTTGGCTGATTTTTGGGGCAATAAATCTTTCGAAGCATTCTGTGTTGCATCCAATATATTCGGTGGAGTATTTTCGAAATAATCATCAGAATTAGATGAATCCATTGTTAAAATGACGTTTGTATAGATGCCTGTTTTGTTTTCTGAAGAAAATATCTACAATAATATAATAATTACCTAAATATTAAATAGATATATTTTTACTTATTTTTCAGTTTAAATGTCGAATAGAATAAAGAAATTTAAGAAATATCTCACAACACGTACCAAATGTCAGTCAATCACAGCCAACTTAGCAAGATTGTTAGAAATCTTTAATTACGATTTTTATAACTTTTATTATTATTTAATTTAATATTATATTCACTAATAGGTATTTGCTGAATTCAAATAAGTTTTGATGTATGATTAAACCAAAAAAATAAAGCAACTAATTTATAATATTTTTGAATATTGATATTGTTCTTGATTTTTAAAGTTAAAATATCTTAAATAATTTTCGTCAACAAATAATTAGACCTCACAATAATTTTTATTAATATAATATTTCAACTGGATTGAAATAACTAAAAATATATGATTAAATTGAAAAAAATTAAAAGCAGGTACTTTCCATTGTTAGTTTCTTCTGATATGACAAAAGTGCGTGAAATATAATTTTTTGAATCTCGGATTCTTACCTCAATTAAATTGCCTTCATCTTCTATGTCAGCTGTGGATATTTTCAAGAGTTTCTCTCTTCTGCCAAAAATAGTGGCAACTTTCATTAATAAATATCATCAGGTGTCTCATTGATGAAAGTCGATATATCTTTAGAAAAAATGCATGCTTTTTGGGTTTAAACCCCACGTTCTGTTTTTTGATAAAATATTGTAGCTTGGAAAACAAACTAATATCCATGTTTTTCTTTACTTTTAAAACGTTTTTAAGCATGAAATATTTAGCCCACAAAGTATTTGGGCTAAATTATTTGTTTAGTTTTACAAAATAGGCTAAAAGTACCTCTTCTTTCATAGTTTTTACTCCCTTTTCTTAGCACCATTTTTCAAATATGTCGCAAGTCCTTTCCTATTTCTCTCTTGATTTTTCCGGGAGCAGCTCCGAAGTGGCCATCCGAGCAGCTTCTAATACGTCCTTTAGTAGTTCTTCTTTTACTTCCATTTTTGGCTTTTTTGAATTGGAACGCTTCCTTCGATCCTTTTGACTTCTACTAAATGTTTGTACTTTGCGGTTGACATAGCAACACGACCTAACAGTTTAATTAAATCAAGTGACATGCAAGGTGTCAAGCACAATTCTATTGTTGATATAGTTGACGTTTACAAAAAGCTACGAGGGTCGCTCATTTATTTAAAAAAATACAAATTTTTAATAATGACTAAAACGTCCTAAAATATTAAAAAACACATTAAATAACATGAAAAACCTTTATTTTTGAGTATTATTTTGTCCAGAAAACATTAAAACATTTAAAAATAGTGTTTTAAAAGGACAAAAAAATACATTTTAGAATGTCCTACTAGGTATTAACTTAAACATTAATTAAAATGTATATTGCAACTCTACTCCAATAAAAGAGTTATTATATCTGACTATAGCGCCAGAAATACATTATTTAAGTTGTTCTAGGATTGTTTTAGCATAGCGATATAAACTCCAATAATAACCATTCAATGTCTCTTGGGACCTTTTTTAGTTAATTAAAAAAATACATGAATAATGTGATATTCTTGTTTAGTTCGTAAATTCATATAATATAGTTCATTAGTGATTTAGAAGCAAATTACGTTCTATTTATAAGAATTTTAAAACCATTCTTTGTTCTTTAATTAAGTACATAATATGAAAATTTAAACAATATACAAAATTAGTCGATTAAATTACAGTTTAAAAAAAAATTGTCAACAAAAAAGTAGCATTGCCTTTTTCCTTAAACGTTCTTTTTGAAAGAGGAAGTAGTGACAAGATTGATTATTATATCTCTCGTCGAAATTTACTGAATTTGCATTTTTCTTTAATATTTTCCTCCCCTAAGGTCTGTAATAAAAATCTTTATTAGCATAAAAAGTTATTCCTAAATTTTGGAATCATTTATTTCTTTTTATCATATCAAGAAAAGGAAACCGACAATAAAAAAATAACAATAAACTTTAGGTATAAATATGTGGTATTAAAGTAAAGTCACAGGTTTACATTTTCTTTATTTATGTTAATAACTAATTAACCTTTACTATAATCATTATGAGATGGATCACGATGAACTTAGCTGGGGTTTATCCCCTCTTAATTGTACTTTTTTGATAAGAAAATAAGAAAGTTTAATTGCAAATTAAAGGTGATTGCCTGCTTAATGCACTGTCCTTGATAATTAGGTTGTGTTTGTACTTATGATATAATCTTGAAGAAGCATTTTCAACAGGTCTTTTACACATAAAGCGTGTTTTCACCATACTAAATATACATTTACAACGCTATATATTATTATATTTTTCGTAAAATACAAATCAAAAATTGACATGTGTCAGAACTGGCGCTGTCAAACTTGGCAACACTGATTAATTAATAGCGCCCTCGATTCCACTACCCTGCCTGCGTGGAGTGCACATAAAAGATGAGCGATATATCCTAATAAATATTTCACATTTCACATTGAAAAGTAACGTATTGACATATATTTCACCTTTCGTATGCACTCAGTGCAATTACAGGAGAGATTTTGATGTTGATTACAAAATTTAGCGCAGGGAAGGAGGGGAGACTTTCTCTACTCTAGTAGTAATTGCTCGCAGGGTATTTCCGAGACTTTAAGTAACTAAATAACAAACTCGGATTATTATGTCAAAGTGATAGCAGCTTTTTATCCATCGAGATAGAATAACGTAGAGACTATGACTTCATAGTGGAGACGACATAAACACTATTGTGCAGTATGACAGAAGGACGCACTTCGAGTGACGGAAAAGTGTAATGAAAATGGCGACTTCAATCGTACTTTGATTCATTTGAAGTCAATCATTTTATATTTGAAGATTTAATGGAATGAAAATGAATTTATCTCGTTTAAATGAAGCTATTTAAAAAAATGGCATTTATTTTCACCAAAACTGACTAGTCCTACTATCTCGAGTTTGATATATGATGTAAAACTGCAATGCAAAGGTGCGGATACTTTAGCATTCTATCTCAATGTTTTTTTCAAATTTAGACATTAGATCATTAAAAATGTTTTTTTTTTATTTCAGGTATACTGTGACAGTAAGAGTGTCAGAAGAACAACCTTACCAAGTCAGAGAATACGTGTGGTGTCTCAACTTCCCTCCGAGGTGCTCAAAATATAAAATTAAGTTTAAAACAGTGTACAAAAATCAAAATTTGGTGAAAACCAGACCTGTAGAAGACTGTTGCAAAGGGTATACGAAAAATAATCTAGGCACTCGTTGCATACCAGTTTGCTCAAAAGACTGCATTCACGGAACTTGCGTAGCTCCCGAAACTTGCCAGTGCGAACCTGGATACGGAGGACCTTATTGTGATATTAGTAAGTATAATCTATATTAATTATGAAAAATCCAGCCAGATTGTACTATTCAAGGTACAATTTTTGGACCCTCATGTTTGTACTAAGCACCACGCAAAAAAGTTGCTACGTAAAACTTGTTTTATTGAAGTTTTAAGTATTATATTTATGCATGACCGGGCGATAAAGTCCAGATTATAAATACGTTAAGCGGACGTAAAGTGCCCCTTTATCGCCCGCGGATTACTTTACCGCCCGCCGGGCGGTAAAGTAAATTTATTTTATAATAACCTACTCACAAAAGGCGAAAAAGAGAAAATAATAGTTATTTATTAATAAACGAACATTAAAACGGTCGTACATAAAATTTTATATTCCCATTAGTGCGTAATTGTTCAATATTGCAATTTGTGTTATAGACACGTAAAAAATTTTCAAATAAAAATTATGTGGATTTGAAAAATACATATTTTAAAAATATTTTTGTATATACAGGGTGTGGCCTTTTTTGCTTGGCAAATAAAAATATTTTTTTTTAAATAGAACACCGTGTATTTTATTTTATCTACAAAATTAATTTTAGTAATGCAGTAATTAATAAAACTTGTTTTTTTATAATAGTCATCAATTAATATTTAAATAGCATTAATAAAAAATATTTTTTTTAAGTATACTTGGTGAATAACATACAAGTTGTTGTATACAATAAAATATCCAATAAAAAGTATCCACCCTAATTCATTTTAAAATAGATACTTTTTTGAAAAAATACAAAAATAAGTCAAAAATCATAAATTCTCAACTCTTGTGGTATTACTTTTGATAAGATTTTTGTATGCACTATGTGTGCTTAATATAGCGTTTTAATACTTGAACCGACTAATTCAACGATTTTACAATAATTGCTTTATTTTCGTAGTAAAATAGGATTTCAATTACTTATTTAAACAAGTATTCGAATATTTTAATAAATTCAGAACCTAAATCCCAGGAAAACCATTAGCTATACTATAGAAATATTATTTCTTCGACGTAACGGTCCAAAATTAAAAAGATTTTAACATTAACTAAAAACAGAATAAATGTATTGGAGCAATGACCGCATATTTAGATTTTAATCAACCATGCTAAATGATTACGATTATTCGATTGTTTGATTTATTTTCTGGGTCAGATTTACGCCAATTATAATGTTTCAATAAACAGTACAATCAATCGTAGAAGCAATGGAGATTTGTAAGAGTATCTTTGAAAGTTAATTGCACTGCGATTATTTAACACCCACAGTCAATAATAAGTAGCAAAAAATTTTACTTATTATTAACTTATTTTTACTTGTTTTTTCTTATTTTTGCTTACTTTTTTCTTATTTTTACTTATTTTTAACCATTTTTACTTATTTTTAACTATTTTCACTTTTTTTGCTTAATTTCACTTATTTTTAACCGTTTTTATCTGATTTAACTTATTCGTATTTATTTTTACTTTTTTTTATCTATTTTTAGTTATTTTTAACTATTTTTACTTATTTTTAACTATTTTTACTTATAACTTATTTTTACTTATTTTTTTACTTATTTTTACTTATTTTTTTACTTATTTTTAACTTATTTTTAACTTATTTTTAACTTATTTTTAACTTATTTTTAACTTATTTTTAACTTATTTTTAACTTATTTTTACTTATTTTTAACTATTTTTAATTAATTTTACTTAATTTCAACCTATTTTTACTTACTTTTACTTCTTTCTAACTTATTTTCAACTATTTTTACTTATTTTTAACTACTTTTACTTCTTTTTAACTACTTTTTAACTACTTTAATCAACCTTACCGCTACCAACCGAGACCACCACCACTACTACACAAAATTCGTTGATAATCCTCCATGGAAACATCGACAGAGGAAAGGCAGCCATGGATCTAATATATAAAATTGCCGAAGAAAACCAGGCTGACATCATATTAATGGCGAAACCAAATAAGATAAAGGAAAAATGGATACAAGTTGAAAATGAAAATGCGGCCATTAAAATGATAAAAAATGTAAAACTTAGACAAACAGGAAACGGACGGGTGTGAAGTTATCCACATCCACAAATGTACACTGAGAAAAATATAACTCTATCGTAATAGTCATATAACTTGGTTCAAATTACCTGTAGAGGCTTTTCATTTGTAGATTTCAATTGGGGAGGTTTCAATACACAGCAACCATACCCGCAATTAACTTTTGCTTTGTCTCAGGGGGTGCAATTGGGGGTGAAATTTAAAAAAAAACATAGAAGCCGCAAATGGCTTTGTACACCTTTCTGCTTGGGATATGTTATGTAGTTTACTCTTTTCTTCATCCCTGATACCATGCTGGAGTTTGTCGAGTCGTCTGAGGGAGTGCAATTGGGGATGAAATTTAAAAAAAAATCACAGAAGCCACAAATGGCTTTGTACACCTTTTTACTTGAGATATGTTATGAAGATAGCTATTTTCTTTATGCCTGATACCATGCTGGAGTTTGTCGAGCCGTCTGAGGGGGTGCAATTGGGGGTGAAATTAAACAAAAAATCATAGAAGCCACAACTGGCTTTGTACACCTTTTTGCTTGGGATATGTTATGTAGTTTGCTCTTTTCTTCATCCCTGATAGCATGTTGGAGTTTGTCGAGCCGTCTGAGGGGGTGCAATTGGGGATGAAATTAAAAAAAAATCACAGAAGCCACAAATGGCTTTGTACACCTTTTTACTTGAGATATGTTATGAAGATAGCTATTTTCTTTATGCCTAATACCATGCTGGAGTTTGTCGAGCCGTCTGAGGGGGTGCAATTGGGGGTGAAATTAAACAAAAAATCACAGAAACCACAAATAGCTTTGTACACCTTTCTGCTTGGGATATGTTATGTAGTTTACTCTTTTCTTCATCCCTGATAGTATGCTGGAGTTTGTCGAGCTCTCTAAGGGGTGCAATTGGGGGTGAAATAAAAAAAATCATAGAAGCCACAAATGGCTTTGTACACCTTTCTGCATGCGATATGTTATGTAGTTTGCTCTTTTCTTCATCTAAGATACCATGCTGAAGTTTGTCGAGTCGTCTGAGGGAGTGCAATTGGGGATGAAATTTAAAAAAAATCATAGACGCCACAAATGGCTTTGTACACCTTTCTGCTTGAGATATGATATATAGTTTACTCTTTTCTTCATCCCTGATAGCATGCTGGAGTTTGTCGAGCCGTCTGAGGGGGTGCAATTGGGGATGAAATTAAAAAAAAAACCACAGAAGCCACAAATGGCTTTGTACACCTTTTTACTTGAGATATGTTATGAAGATAGCTATTTTCTTTATGCCTAATACCATGCTGGAGTTTGTCGAGCCGTCTGAGGGGGTGCAATTGGGGGTCAAATTAAACAAAAAATCATAGAAGCCACAAATGGCTTTGTACACCTTTCTGCTTGGGATATGTTATGTAGTTTGCTCTTTTCTTCATCCCTGATAGCATGCTGGAGTTTGTCGAGCCGTCTGAGGGGGTGCAATTGGGGATGAAATTAAACAAAAAATCACAGAAGCCAAAAATGGCTTTGTACACCTTTTTACTTGAGATATGTTATGAAGATAGCTATTTTCTTTATGCCTGATACCATGCTGGAGTTTGTCAAGCCGTCTGAGGGGGTGCAATTGGGGATAAAATTAAAAAAAAATCACAGAAGCCACAAATGGCTTTGTACACTTTTTTACTTGAGATATGTTATGAAGATAGCTATTTTCTTTATGCCTGATACTATGCTGGAGTTTGTCGAGCCGTCTGAGGGGGTGCAATTGGGGGTGAAATAAAAAAAACCATAGAAGCCACAAAAGGCTTTGTACACCTTTCTGCTTGTGATATATTATCTAGTTGGCTCTTTTCTTTGTTGCTTCTATGATATTTTGTTTATTTTTACCCACAATTGCATCCCCTCAGAAGGCTCGACAAATTCCAGCATGCTATCAGGGATGAAGAAAAGAGCAAACTACATATATCCCAAGCAGAAAGGTGTACAAAGCCATTTGTGGCGTCTATGATTTTTTTTAAATTTCATCCCCAATTGCACTCCCTCAGACGACTCGACAAACTCCAGCATGGTATCTTAGATGAAGAAAAGAGCAAACTACATAACATATCGCATGCAGAAAGGTGTACAAAGCCATTTGTGGCTTCTATGATTTTTTTTATTTCACCTCCAATTGCACCCCTTAGAGAGCTCGACAAACTCCAGCATGGTATTAGGCATAAAGAAAATAGCTATCTTCATAACATATCTCAAGTAAAAAGGTGTACAAAGCCATTTGTGGCTTCTGTGGTTTTTTTTTAATTTCATCCCCAATTGCACCCCCTCAGACGGCTCGACAAACTCCAGCATGCTATCAGGGATGAAGAAAAGAGTAAACTACATAACATATCCCAAGCAGAAAGGTGTACAAAGCCATTTGTGGCTTCTATGATTTTTTTTTAAATTTCACCCCCAATTGCACCCCCCGAGACAAAGCAAAAGTTAATTGCGGGTATGGTTGCTGTGTATTGAAACCTCCCCAATTGAAATCTACAAATGAAAAGCCTCTACAGGTAATTTTAACCAAGTTATATGACTATTACCATAGAGTTATATTTTTCTCAGTGTACATTTGTGGATGTGGATAACTTCACACCCGTGGAAACGGACCAGGTTTTGTCTGGATAGAGACAGAAAATATCGTAATATACAGTTGCTATATTTCTCCATACGTGGATATAAAACAATTTCTAGAAAACCTAGTAGCCCTTAGAAATGACATGAGACAGCACCAGAATGAGATAATAATAGGAGGTGACTTTAATGCAAAATCAGTTTTATGGGGTTCAAAGTTTGAAGACAAAAGAGAAAAAATACTGTCAGAATTGCTAGAAGAAGAGGACTTGGTAATACATAATCAAGGAGACGTCCCTACATTACATATAGACATAACTTTCAGCACAAAGAAAATAACCAAACAGCTGATTAACTGGAGAGTGTTAGAGGAAAATAACTTAAGCTTACATCAACATATTTTGTATGAGCTCCAGGAAAAAGAATGACAAGAAACAAGACCGCAGGAGCATTAGCAAGAGAGGCTGGCAAATTAACAAAGAAAACATGCATAAATTAGTAGAATAATTCGGCAGAGTAATAGATATCAGTGAGAGGGCAGTAACAACAGCTAGAGAGATAACCATCGCAATAGAGACAGCTTGTGATAAAACATTTCGTATGAAAAGGGAAAATCTAAGGAGGAAACCAGTGTATTGGTGGACTAAGGAAGTAGCTGAGAAAAGAATGGAATGTGCAAAGTAGAAGGGCAATGTTAAGGGCAAACAATGAAAACCAGAAGATAATCCTTAGAGAACGATATAAGCTGAAAAGAAAATAACTTAATATAGCTATAAGAGAAGCGAAGAGACAAAGCTGGAAAAAAATTATAGCCGAAGTGGATGCGGATGTGTGGGGCAAAGATTGTTACACAAAAGCTGCAGTTTCTTAACCCGATTTCCATGACTGATGAACAATAGCTAGAAGTTGCGAAGGCACTGTTTTCGGATCATCAAGTAAGGAAGTTGGATAGGATGCCGCTAGAGGTAGAGGAAATACGAAGATTTACAGAAGAAGAACTACTAAAGGCAGATGAACGACTGAAAAAAAAGAAAGCACCAGGACCAAACGTATAAAGAAGACGAATTAGACGTAGGCGAACAAATGGCAAATAATCTATTGTTACAAAGATGGCTGGAATGGTAGAAATAAGAAGCAGATACAACAAGGTTGTGGACAAAGCGGCTCATACCGGATGTCGGCATATGGATAAATAGAAAATATGGGGAGCTTAGCTACTTCCTGGCACAAATGTTGACCGGTCATGGGAGCTTCCAAGCATACAGAAAAAGATTCCATGTAGTCAGACTTGTATATACTGTGATGAGGAGGAGGACACAGTAGAGCATACAATTTTTATATGTAGTAGATGGCACAGAGAGAGACAAAGGATGGAAAATGTAACTGTACAAGTTAATCCTGAGAACATCATACCCAAAATGATAGAGAATACACTGATATGGGAAGCAGTACAAAAATTTACCACTGAAATACTTAAAAGGAAAGAAAAAGACGTTATGCAGAGGGAACGAGACAAATAGCCAAAGGAAAAAAAAAAGAATGGTAAAAAAAAAGAAAATAAAAATATGGTAAAAAAATATGGCAATAAAATATAGTAAGAGAAATATGTTAAAAGGAACATCAGTCACTGCTCCCTCCTCTTGATGAAATGCACAAAGCGGTCCCAGGAAGAGCTACCTAGAGTAAGGGTATACCGGCCTTGCACCCTAAGCCGGGTGTCCCACACTACCAGGTATGGACAGAACCATATGCCTGGTGTCTGTAATGGATTCCCACCCAACCAGAAAAAACTTGTTTTTACTAATTTTTAACTATTTTTACTTAATTTTAACTATTTTTACTTAATTTTACTTATTTTTAACCTATTTTTTACTTATTTTCAACCAATTTTTTTACTTATTTTTAACTATTTCTATTTACTTATTTTTAATTATTTCTATTTACTTTTTCTTTTTTTACTTATTTTTAACCATGTTTACCTATTTTTACTTACTTTACATATTTTTAACTATTTTTACTTGCATTTATTTTATTTGTAATTATTTTTACTTGTTTTTTATTGTTTCTACTTATTTGTAACTTATTTTTAACCATGTTTATCTTATTTTTACTTTAAATATTTTTAACTTATTTTTAACTATTTTTACTTTAAATATTTTTAACTATTTTTGCTTACTTTTTCTTTTTTTACTTATTTTTAACCATGTTTACCTATTTTTACTTCCTTTATATATTTTTAACTATTTTTACTTTTTTTTTGCTTATTTTACTTGTTTTTACGTATTTTTACTTATTTTTAACTTATTTTTAACCATGTTTACCTATTTTTACTTTACGTATTTTTAACTATTTTTACTTTTCTGCTTATTTTTACTTGCATTTACTTATTTGTAATTATTTTACTTACTTTTACTTGTTTTTATCTATATTTGCTTATTATTAACTATTTTCACCTGTTTTTTTATTGTTTTTACATATTTTTAACCATGTTTACTTATTTTACTTACTTTACATATTTGTAACAATTTTTACTTTGTGTTTATTTTTACTTGTTTCTACTTATTTTTAATTATTTTTACTTAATTTTACTTATTTTTAACCATGTTTACCTATTTTTACTTACTTTACATAATTTTAACTTATTTCAAACTATTTTTACTTTTTTGCTTAGTTTTACTTGTTTTTACTTATTTTTAAACTATTTTTTACTTATTTTTAACTATTTTTACTTTTTTGTTTATTTTTACTTGTTTTTACTTATTTTTAACTATTTTTACTTAATTTTACTTATTTTTAACCTATTATTAGCTTATTTTTACTTGTTTTTTTACTTGGTTTTACTTGTTTTTAATTATTTTTACCAATTTTTTCTTATTATTAACTATTTTTATTGTTTTTTGTTATTTATTATTAACTTATTTTTAACCATGTTTACCTATTTTTACTTACTTATCATATTTTTACCTTTTTTGCTTCTTTTTACTTGTTTTTATTTATTTTTATTTATTATTACTTATTTTTAACTATTTTTACTTAATTTTACTGATTTTTTACTTACCATTACTTGTTTTTAATCATTTTTACCTGCTTTTACTTATTTGTATTTATTATTACTTATTTTTATCTATTTTTACTTACTTTTAATTATTTTTAACATATTTTTACATATTTTTACTTATTTTTACTTATTTTTAACTATTTTTACTATTTTTTAACTTATTTTTAAATAATTTTTACCCAGTTTCACTTATTTTTACTTGTTTTAACTTATGTCTATTTGTTCTTACTTGTTTTTACTTATTTGTACTTATTTTTACTTATTTTTACAAATTTTTTACTTATTTTTACTTATTTTTACTTATTTTTACATATTTTTTTTACTTATTTTTACATATTTTTTTTACTTATTTTTACTTATATTTACTTATTTTCACTTATTTTTACTTATTTTTACTTATTTTTACTTATTTTTTCTTATTTTTACTTATTTTTACTTATTTTTACTTATTTTTACTTATTTTTACTTATTTTTACTTATTTTTGCTTATTTTTACTTATTTTTACTTATTTTTACTTATTTTTACTTATTTTTACTTATTTTTACTTATTTTTACTTATTTTTACTTATTTTTACTTATTTTCACTTACATTCACTTACATTCACTTATTTTTACCTATTTTTACTTATTTATTTGTATGAGTTCTAATAATTTTACGACACATTTTTCTATATTCCTCTTCTTTCATTTTTCAGCTTGCCCTACCGGACTTTGGGGCAGAGAGTGCCAACATAAATGCGAATGCCAAAATAATTCGACTTGCGACCCATTCAACGGAAACTGCCATTGTTCGAGGGGTTGGATAGGACAACATTGCGAAAATAAATGCGACAAAGATCATTTCGGACAAGATTGTTTAGAGAAATGTCGATGCGAAAGCGGCGACTGCGATCACGTTTCTGGAGAGTGCAAATGTCATCCAGGATATATGGGACCATTGTAAGTGTTATACATAATTATTCAATATGTATTATACAGGGTGTCCTTTAAAATGTGTCCCAAAATTCTCAGGCAGATTCCTTAACCAAAAAATGGAAAAAAAGTTCCTATAGACCTATGTCCTAAAGTGCCCCCTAAGCGAGCAACAGCCTCTCGAAATCATTTTTTTTATTTTGATTTTTTGAATTTTCTTAAAAATGGAAACAAATAAAAGAACCAAATTTTGGCTGTTAAATATGATCAATAATAGTGACCTTTTGACACCTTCAAAAAGAAATTATTTCGTCAGGGGTGTACTTGGGAATTTTTTGAAAATTTTGATTATTCATAACTTTTTTGTGTTTTTGGTAATGACTTTTTTACATTCTACATTGAAAACTACGTCAAAAAGGAATACTTGTTTGATCTCGATTGGAGCAGCCGTTTCCGAGAAAACATCATCCAAAGATATTCGTCCACTTTAGCTTAATTTTCAATTTTCCTAAATTACCTCGGTGAATCTCGTAAATAAAAATAACTTTTTTAGCTCTCTCTAAATAATTGTAGTTCAAATGTCGTGGTGGGACTATTTTTATTTAATAATAAGAAACGGTTTAAAAAAATATTTATTCTAAAAAAACAAATCAAAAAAAATTAAAGCAGATGCTCAATGTGGCGACCATTGGTTTCCACACACAAGCGCAACCGTCGCATCATAGACTGTCTTACACGAAAAAATACTTCAGGATTATTCCTAAGAACTTCGCAATGATGAAAAACTCGTTCTTCCAATTCTTCAACTGTTTCAACAGGACTGGAATAAACCAATGATTTTAAATAACCCCAAACAAAAAAATCCATTGGATTTAGATCTGGTGAACGAGGTGGCCAGTTAACAGGACAACCTCTGCCAATTACTCTACCCTCAAATCTTTCGTTAAGGTGCTGTCTAGCTTCAAGGCTGTAATGTGGTGGAGCTCCATCATGCATAAACCACATGTTATGTCTGATTTGAATCGGAATATTATCAAGAAGCTCATGTAAGTTATTTTCCAAAAAAAGCCTGTATGCTGCTCCATTTAACCTATTCGGCAAAACAAATGGTCCAATAAGGTAATTATCAATAACTCCAGCCCAGACGTTTATTGAAAATTTATCCTGGTGGTGACGTTCAACAACCGCGTGAGGGTTATCTTCAGCCCATTCATGCATATTTCGAAAATTTATTATACCATCTCTAGTGAAACCAGCTTCATCGGTAAATAGCACTTTATTAAGAAACATTGCATCTTGATTACATCTTCCAAGAAACCATTCAGAAAAGATAACTCGCGGCTCATAATCAGTAGCTTTAAGTGCCTGAACTTTTTGAATGTGGTAAGGGTACAATTGTTGTTCACGCAAAACTTTCCATACCGTGTTACGTCCGACTCCCACTTCTGAAATTAAATGAGAGAATCTGTGTAGTGAATAGTTAAGAAAGAGAATCCATTGATTTGGGAAATCAGATTTTTTCTGCATAACGCAACTCTTTTCGATACGAAAAGTCGTGAAATGTAAGAGAAGCAATAACAAGTAAAAAAACTAGTTTTATACGATAAGGTACGGGGTAGCTAAAATAATAAATATGTAATTACTTACCATTTGCTATTTTTCTGGTACTTGTCGATGGGGTTTCAGCTACCCTATCCAAAATTGCTTCTTCCAAAGCAGGAGTTCTCACATAATTTTGTCTTCCACTGTTACTAGAGTTTTTCTTAAATGTACCAGTTTCCCGAAGTCTATCGTCAATTCTAGAAAACGTCTTAGCGCATGGAAGATGCCTATTTGGAAAGCGCTCCTGATAAAGTCTGCGAGCTTCATTGGCATTTCCAGAAGCGAGTCCAAAACATAAGTGCATGTCCGTCATTTCGCCGAATGTGTAATCATTATTGTAGTTATTGTGAGCCATTTTAAACAAAATAATAACAATACAACGAATCGCACCAGAACACTTTTAGAAATAATGTTTAACTGAAGAAACATTTTTATCAGTGAGCGAAAAAAATTATCCATGAAACACAAAAACGCCAAAAAAATACATATTTTTACTTTTTTATTCTAAACAGCTAAATACAAACCTTATGGTCTTCATAATAAATAAATGGGAACTAAATTTTTAAATTTTATTTAGAGAGCTAAAAATAGTATACAGGGTGATTGATTAGTGTGAGGAAGCTCTGTAGATCTGTTATAATAAAAGTAGGCAGCTTTAAGCTTCACATTTTAAAATTAGTTACGATGTGACAGGGTGTTTCATAAGGCCGTGCCAAATCAAAGTTATGTTTTTTAAATGGAACACCCTGTATATTTTTATATTTTTAGAATCTGCTCGATAATCTGATTTCAATGATATATCACACTTGTTATCTAATATGAATAGTAAAGGATCTACAGCTACTCAAAAATCACATTTTTTCAAATTCAGGTGGCTGTTGTAGCCAAACAGTTGGAAATCGAGGAAAACGGCTTACAGTCCCTATCCTAACTTTTTAAGGTCTATTCAGTGACATAAAATACATATTATTTGATACAGGGTGATCAAAAATCCAAAATCACATCCGATTTTTGATCACCCTGTATCAACTAATATTTTTTGCCACTGAATAGACCTTCAAAAGTAAGGATAGGGACATGTAAGCCGTGTTCCTCGATTTCCAACTTTTTGGCTACAACAGCCAAAATTGAAAATTAACCTAAACTGCACGAATATCTTTGGATGATGTTTTCTCGGAAACGGCTGCTCCAATCGAGATCAAACAAGTATTCCTTTTTGACGTAGTTTTCAATGTAGAATGTAAAAAAAAATATGGATAAGTCATTACCAAAAACACAAAAAAGTTATGAATAATCAAAATTTTCAAAAAATTCCCAAGTACACCCCTGACGAAATAATTTCTTTTTGAAGGTGTCAAAAGGTCACTATTATTGATCATATTTAACAGCCAAAATTTGGTTCTTTTATTTGTTTCCATTTTTAAGAAAATTCAAAAAATCAAAATAAAAAAAATGATTTCGAGAGGCTGTTGCTCGCTTAGGGGGCACTTTAGGACATAGGTCTATAGGAACTTTTTTTCCATTTTTTGGTTAAGGAATCTGCCTGAGAATTTTGGGACACATTTTAAAGGACACCCTGTATAGGTGTCAATTTTAATTCAATACGATTGTTGCATCATAAAATGTCATACTTACTTATAGTTTAGCTGCGAGATAGCTGCAAGAATGGGACTGTCTGTTTTCATTGACACAAATGTTTGACAGTTTGGTTCTCATAGTACCAAATAGTTTTTTTTATCGGACTCCAAAGGATTTATTAATTTTTTTTTATCTGGGTAATCGTTGAACATTATTTTTTATTAAAATATACAAAAAAGTTGCGTTAGCATGAAAAATATTTCAATATCCAAGATCAGAATTTTACTTATTTCCATATTCCATAAATATTTCTATACATTCATGTTCTTTGAAATCGTAACATATTTCAAGTATTCTTAATAGAATGCGGCAGTAAAATGTCTGGAATGTCATTTTTTGTTTGTCAATATTAATTCAATCAGTTAAGATGTAAATACCAAATAAATCACCATCTTTTTAGTATTTTTTACAGAGGTGGATTTTTTAATTTAAAGTTATAAAACTAAGTTGATCAATTTATTATTCTTGATGTACTTATTATCTAGTTTATTATGGTTATATTATTTTAAAGAATCGATTTCTTATCTAATATTGGACTGTAAAATATTTTTGATAAAACTACAACAAAAGTATATTGAAAAATCAAAGATTTTGCACAAACGAGTTACGAAATAATGAATGTATGTTCCTTTTATTACCACCATACTGTATAGTATTAGTAGAATGAAGATTCTTATGGTTTCAAAATTACCTACAATTAAGCAAAGCAGGAAAAAGAAACATGTTATATAAAAATAAATAATAACGAATACAAGGCGTACATTTAGATAACACATATAATCGACTTTACTTTCAATTTAATTAATTCGATGGTTTACAAAACAGTCGTTGAATACGTCGATTTCATTTTTTTCAATTCGATTTTTAAATAGGTTTAAAATTGATGGACAACAACGCATCTGAATTTTTAATCTTATTTATAAATTAGCAACCAATAAAGGTTTTTATTTTTCTAAGAAAGCATTCATTCATTTGTTTAATTAGACATCTAGAAGAAAATCTAAATATATAAAATCATTTGTCATAACTGACTGACTGAATGACTAACTAACTGACTAATTGATTAACTGACTAACTGATTGACTGACTAAATAACTAAATGACTGATTTACTGACTGACTAACTAACTGATTGACTGACTAACTAACTAACTGACTGAGTAATTGACTGACTAACGGATTGACTGACTAATTGACTGACGGACTAATTGACTGACTAACTAACTGACTTACTGACTGACTAACTGCCTGTCTGACTGACTAATTGATTAACTGACTAACTAACTAAATGACTGACTAACCGACTGACTAACTAACTGACTAACTAACTAACTGACTAACTAACTGACTAACTGACTAACTAACTAACTGACTAACTGACTAATTGACTAACTAACTAACTGACTGGCTGGCTGGCTGGCTGGCTGACTGACTGACTGACTAACTGACTAACTAACTAACTAATTAACTGACTAACTAATTAACTGACTGACTAACTGACTGACTGACTGACTAACTGACTGACTAACTAACTAACTAACTAACTAACTAACTAACTAACTAACTAACTAACTGACTAACTAACTGACTGACTAACTAACTGACTGACTGACTCTGACTGATTCTGACTGACTCTGACTGACTCTGACTGACTCTGACTGACTCTGACTGACTCTGACTGACTCTGACTGACTCTGACTGACTCTGACTGGCTCTGACTGACTGACCGACTCTGACTGACTGACTCTGACTGACTGACTCTGACTGACTGACTCTGACTGACTGACT